GCTTTGGCCTGACACCAATGTCCCCAGTGTCTCGTGTCTGACCTGAAAACACGACATGTTTTGGAGTCCTCTCACAAGCTGGTCTGAATATAGTGGCCTGGAGGTTCTCACTCTTGGCCCGTGAGGAACAGCACTTCTAGAAGGCAACAGTGTGCCGTTTACAACCCCTGCAGCTAAGGCTCAAGGATCATTATGAAAGATGAGGAGGAAAGATCAGGGAGTCTGATGTAAGTTGTGTCTCCAACGAGTGTCAGAAGCTACACCCATGCAGTCACCAACATGACTACCCAAACATGAGCTGAACAAGGACAACAATAGACACGCTAAAGTGGATGAGGGAAAGCCCAAGAGGCCCCAGCCTTCCACAAAGAACCACAGGCAACTCAGGAATGCTGGGAGCTGGAGCAACGGTCCTCCCCAGGGAGGAGCACACCAGTTGGTTATCCAACACCAAATGGTCATCTGTGAAAGCACACATATAAGTAACATTATACAGAAGGAACAGCTTGTATTTATGTCTTTGGGAATACACTTACTCAACAATTAATGAGGAGAGAGGCCATGAATTTGAAAGAAGAGCAAGCAGGGGTATGTGAGAGGGTTTGGAGGGAGGAAAGTGAAGAAGGAAATGATGTAATTATATTATAATCTCAAAAAGTGAAATATATATACACACACATATATATATACATATATACATACATATATATTAAAGGCAATAGTGTTGCTGCTCTGTGCAGTAATGTCCAAGGCTGTGTTTGTGTTTGAGGTCCTCAGTTGGACATCCTGTGTGCTCAGTTTCTTTGCTTCTCTAGCCCTCTTACTAATTCCAAAGACAGTTAGGCACAACCTATGTTCTGTTGGTCTCTATCTAGTTCTAACTAAGTTGGTTCCACATCTCCAACGGGCTGATAGAATTCTATCCCGCGTAAAAATGTTATCTCTGTATTTTCACCATTTTCTAACACAGTCCAGTGATTATGTAACCCTAACAGAGACTCTGGCAGGAAGAGTGAGACAAGTCGAACTTGGTCCCCTGGAGCAAGTGGTCTCAGTTAAGGATGCCCAGCCACATCCCAAACACAGAGAGCTTCTACTGGAGTGTAACTTCCAAGGCAGACAGGTCTCCTCAGAAGGCTCTTATGAGACAAGCTGAGGACTGAGAGAACTCACGAGCACAGACAATGCTGAGCCACACTCTCAGACACTAGAAGCACACACCGCACCCTCCAACCTGCACACCTACACCATCGTTATCCAACCATCGTTATCCTAGGCCAGGCTGAGAGCAACCATACTAGGAGGCAAGGGTAGGAGGACCCCAGGGCCACCCACATTCTCCTTTGTTCTGAATCACGTCGTCCCTTACAAATGACCTTTTAGAAGACTCTCCCAGCATCCAGGCATAAGCTAATCAGCATTTTAAATATGCTCTACCAACATTTAAAACTAACTGTGTTAAGGGATGGATTGTTGTAGTAAAGTATACGCTTTTTGGCTTTCTCAGAAACTCTTTTTTCCCCCTCATTTTAAAAATTAGTTCTTTGACAATTTTGTAGACTGTACTTTGGTCATTTTCAACCCTTTCCTAACTCCTCCCAGATCCCCCCCCTTCCCTACCTATCCAGTCAGTGGCCTACTTTTTTAATCATGTCAAGACACTTGGTGTGGCCCAACTCTTGGATGTGTGGCCTTCCACTAAGAAATCCAAGCTGGGATTGTGAGTCACACGCCCTGATACTGATAGAATGCTACATTCCTTACTAACTCTTGCAAGTGGATACTGTGTTTTTTAATAAGTGTAAGGAAGCCAGAGCTTCCTAATACCTACAACCCATAGCTAGATACACTTGCATTTCCTCCCCCAAACTGAAAGTTTTCACAACGCCCCCTACACACATACTCATAGAAGATTGTCAAAGCCTAATCACAAGTACCAATAAAAATGGCAAACAGGAATTTGCCAGAGACTGGAGGATCTGCCCTGTGACAATAAATACATAATTAAATGTCAAGCTTTTACTTCTGCTCAGAATAGATTCAAATCTATTGTGACAGATTTGAGGAAGAGTCCAAAACTCTGGTACATCCACGGGACCAAGATGAAATGGATGGCATCTAAACTGGGTCATTCAAAGGAATTATCCCCTTAGGATGCAATTCCTTAAGACTATACAGAGATAATCCTCTGTGGTGGAGTTACAGACGGAGAAACCAGTTAATGGCCTTTCTACTTATCTGGCCACTTGTAATTGTGACACACACACACACACACACACACACACACACACACACACACACAGAAATTAATATGAGTCTGAGGCTGGTCTGTGACTGCCATACTCCCAGTTTTTAAATGTTTATCAAATTACTTCGTTTTAAATATTATTTGATAACATGTTCAAGTGAATTATGGCACATTAAAATAAGCACTTACTAATAACAAAAGGCCAAGTCCCTATGTCTAATTCCCTTGTAAAAGTTAAAATTCACCAGAGCCTTAAAAGGAGTGCATGCTGGGAGGCAGGAGGCAGAACAGCTCATCCCTCGGGTAATGTGACACTAAGAATGATTGCACTCTGTCCCTGCCATGAAAAGACATGCCTCATTAGGAAGTGAGACAAAAGTGCCAGAGAGGCCGCATAAGGATATCAGGTGCCACCTGGTGATCTGTGGCTAAGTGTCAAACGAATAGCCCTATGGACTAAATTATGATCCTCAGAATCACAGGGTGAAGTATTGACCCTCAATATGACTGTATTTTGAAACAGGGCCTTGAGACATATAATTAAATAAGGTTAAATGAAGTTATAAAGGTAGGTCCTAATCTAGTGTGACTGATGTTCTTACAACAAGAAGAAAGAGAAGAGGCGCACACAGAAGACAGACAATGGTGTGAAGGCAGCCATCTGCAGGTCCTGGAGCACCCACAGCAGAAACCAGACACCCATAGACACTGGGACCTGGATCCACGGCCTCCCAGGCTGTGAAGCACGAGATTTTCTTGAGGCCTGAGATGTACAGGCCTTTCAGCATTCTGTGATGGAAAAATGTCACGAGCAAAGTATTTAAAGTGACACGGAAGTATTGAGCAGACAGGAGAGAGATACTTGATTAGAATTAGCTACTTGTTCTTCTGCAAGGGGAGCACTGTACAATCAATTCATATCATAAGGGTATTTCATACAGTCACAATTAAACAAAAGGTAGCTACCAATCACGTGAAAGAGAAGCACATACTTCAGTGTACATACTGTGCAGACATGAAGCTTCTTTCACGTGTTCATTCTTTCCCTGAGATAAATTAACCACTCGGCATGGTCCATAGGAACCTCTCAAGTGCTCAGCCAGGTGCTGAAGGATACAGGCTTGGAGATCCAGGCTCAGTACTGCATAGCACAGAGGCTTCTCCCGGGTCAGGAAGTATAGGGCAAGGGCTAGATGAGGAACTAATGTCTCCTGAGCACAGGCAAGGAGACAGCGCAGGGCAAAGCAGAGGCATACTCCAGAGAGAGCTACGGTGGCCCTCAAAGGCCACCTGTGAATGCTGGAAGGAACAGCCTCTCTAGCCACACACTTCCCTGTGGCTTCACATTTTCTCCAGCCCCAGCCAGGGTTGGACCTGGCTCAGCTCCCCCACAAAGAAAACAACATTAACACTGTCTTTGCCAAGAGAGTCCATCATGAAACCAGTCCTAAGGGGCAAAGTGCAGACATCCATTGGCTGATTTTTGATACCTTATTCTCTGATCTGTTTTGAAGACTGATAAATAAAATAAAATAAAAAGTTATAAACTGCAATGTGTAAAATAAAGGTTGGCTATCATCATACCAGATTTTAAAGGGCCTTATTAAATCACCTAATCCAGGCAGTCATATGTGTTAAGAAACTTGAGTCACCCAGTTCACTCATGTAGAGCCATGGCAGAGGCCAAGGCTACTCATAACCGAGACTCCATGGTAACAGGTTGCTAACATCTGGATTTTACGATATTAGATATGTCAATCCTATTTGACTTCCCATCAGTAGTTCTGTAACTTCAAGCCTCTGAGCATATGAGAGTCATCGTTTTTCTTTAGGTAATACAATATTTGGGACCTCCCTGTGTGTGATGGCAGATGACACCGCAGACCCTCTCGGTATTTCCTCTGTTAGCTAAATACTCTGTCTACCCCTGAAGAAAGGTTTGTTTTTGTCTTTTTGTTTTTTGAGACAGGGTTTCTCTGTGTAGCGCTGGCTGTCCTGGAACTTGCTCTGTAGACCAGGCTGGCCCCGAACTCAGAGATCCATGTGCCTCTTCCTCCCGAGTGCTGGGATTAAAGGCGTGTGCTACCATCACCTGGCAGAAGGAAGGTTTCTGTGTGAAATCTTAAGAACTGAAGGGCAATTCACAGTTCACTGAAAATAGGAGAGGAAGGAACCTGCACGTGAGAGGCAGGTGAGGATGAGACTGGCGGTGGTGGCGCACGCCTTTAATCCCAGCCCTCAGGAGGCAGAGCCAGGTGGATCTCTGTGAGTTCGAGGCCAGCCTGGGCTACCGAGTGAGTTCCAGGAAAGGCGCAAAGCTACATAGAGAGACCCTGTCTCGAAAAACCAAAAAAAAAGAGACTGGAAGAAAACCCCTGTGCTTTCCGTACGGCATGCACATCTCCGTACTGTGTAGACTAGAAAGCAAAGCTCCCGCCGGGGTGGGCCAGACACTGAGAGACAATCACTCTCAGGCCCAGACACCTTGGAGTAGCCTGGCAGCTCTTGCCCTGGGAATGACTTGTTATAACATTCTCAACCCTTTATCTAGATGCTTTCCATCATAGGCAACCTCAAAACTTACCTGAAAAAAAAAAAAAAAAAGCAATAGAATACAGTCAAGGAATCACTTTACATTAAGAGAGGCAACAGGAGATCTGAAGGTCTCTCCTGCGGGGACACGGGGTGACTCTTTCAGACTAGAAGTCCCCCAATACATCATCGTGAATCACTGGGAGAACTGTAAACTTACCAACAGTGTCACACGGTTCATCTTTGTGAACGCAGAAATCTGTCCTGGGGAGAAAAAGACACAGTCAGATGAATGTGGTACCCTGCAGGAACAGGAGAGGAAAACACCATACAAATATTGGTTAGTGATCCTGAAATGTTGGTGCTTTAATTTGGACCACTAACAATGTCTGTCAACAGTAAAGCATCATGACAGCTCTAAATGGTAAGCCCAGTCACCACAGAGAAGACCCCCTTGTTAGATTTTTTTTTTCTTTTGGCATTAATTTGTGAGGTGTGCATGCAAGTGCCATAGTACACATGTAAAGGTTTGTGATGGTCTGAATGAAAATGGCCCCCGTAGGCTCACAGGGAGTGGCACTACTAGGAGGTGTAGCCTTGTTGGAGGAAGTGTGTCACTGGGGGCGGGCTTTGAGGTTTCTGAAGCTCAAGCCAGGCTCAGGTCATTCTCTCTTCCTGCTGCCTGCTGACCCAGATGGAGAACTCTCAGCTACCTCTCCAGCACCATGTCTGCTTGCACGCCACCCTGCTCAGGCCATGACAAAAACGAACTAAACCTCTGAACTGTAAGCCAGCCCTGATGAAATGTTTTCCTTTATAAGAGTCACCATAGTCATGGTGTCTCTTCACAGCAATAAAACCCTAACTAAGTACAAGGGAGACAGTTCTTCTTCTTCTACCAGGCGGGTTGTGGGGATGCAACGCAGCTCATCAGGTGGGGTAAGTACCTTTAACCATTGGGTCACCTCGCCAGCCCAGGACACCCCTTTGACAGCTGAACTTCTCCACACTTAGCTGATGGAAAGAAGTTACTCTTTCATGAGTTGAAAAAAAAATTAAAGGTGTTTTTGATCAGAGACAATTAATTACCCATCAACTGTAGAGGTATCTCAAAGCTACTCAATTTGGAAAGCTGTAAGGGCCATTAGTTATCCCTGGAAAGGCAGCAAAAAGCCATTTCTAAAAATCATTTTTAAAACTCTCAGAGAACTCCCAGGTGTGCAGTTAACGATGAGTGAGAAAGTGAAGGTACAAGGCCTGCGTCAGCCCTGGTCCTGCATGTCCCGTGGGCTCACGCTCACCTCTGCTAACGAAATGAAGGATAGGCCCTGCTTTTCCATCAACAAACACCCCCAAGCTTCCCCCCACAAATTCCCACAGTGAGTAGCCAACCACAGAACACCAGTAGGGCCAGCATCCTGGCTAGGACAGTCCCCAAAGCAGAAATGATTCATTTACCTTTAAATATATAGATAAATAAATCAAAAAACTGGCCTGATCCGAAGCACAAGTATGGCAGCCCTGGTCCCAGCTACCCTTCCCTGGCTAACACTGCCACATTTCCATGCTAGCATTCACTGTCCTCCATTCTTCCTTTCACCCCAGTCACGTCTACTCACAGCAAAATGTAGTGCACCAATTACTCCGGGAACAATGCCAGAGTTCGTCACCCTGCTTCCACTCTATCCGTCGCCATCTCTGTGTGCATCAGCCCACTCTAATCCCTAGTGTGGTATGTGTCAACAGAGCAAAGGATGCGTGTGTGCATCCCTCAGCCTAGTGCTGCTGGGCATGGATCCTGAAGATCCAACCAGTCCACTGGTACCCACAGGCCATGGTTCTGGAGGCTCAAAGGATCTCCTGAACATCTCGAGACACCGATTCCCAGGGGTAGGCTGACAACTGAGCATCTTGGGTCAGAGACATCTCGCCAAGCACACTGGGCATCCTGCAGGGGAAATCCTGGGCATCCAGGCAGGTGGCGTGGATAGGAGTCAAAGCTTAGAAGGTGTGGCTAGAGACAGCGTAAGGGAGATAACTCAAAGTTAGTTGTATCCACCACTCAACGAGTTTTGTCTCTGGAAATGTCTAAGTTTTTCATAACAAATATGAATATTTTGAGTTATCAATTTTTGGGTCAATTTATTTTAATATTATCACTCATCAATTTGACAGGTAAAGTGGTACATATTTCTACAATGCAATATGAGGCAGCAAGTATACATTGTGAAATGATCACATCTAGCTCATAGGAATGTCCATCACCTTAGGTACGAGTTTTGTTTTTCTTGGGGCGGGGGGTTTGTGAGATGGGGTTGGTTGGTTTGTTGGTTGGTGAGAATATTTAAAATCCACTTTCACAGTGATCTTCAAGCATATGCCACTGTGAATTTGACAATAAATATCTCGAACTCAAAGAGAAAAGTAAAAGCCTTTAAGACTGCCCATTCTTGTGGAAAAAAATTAAACCCTTTATTATTCTGATCTTACCCCCAAATCCAACCATTTTTGTGGAAATGAGGGAGGGCTAGCATCCTAACTTGTCAGAGCGAGCCTCCTGGCCTCAATTTGTTTAGGCTCTCTGATTAAGAGGCAACTGAACAGGAAGCAGAATGAGCAGGGAGAATACTGACTGTGGGGTGTTGAAGACTGGGACCTGCAGAGGTATCCAAGTTTGACCCTCTGCCAGGCCTGCATGCTTGCTTGGGTGTCTTCCTGATGTTCTCTACAGAAGCGCCGAGCTGGGCTGGGGGACAAACACTGTGTGCCTGTTTTCCTAGGTCAAGTGCAGAACCAAAGGGAAAGCCACTAGGACTGGAGCCCCGGTCTTCTGTGTGACCTTGGTTGGCCTCCAGCCACAGTGCACATGGGGGCTGTCTACAGTCTAGACCCACACAGCTGCAGAAAAGCTGACTGCCTCTGCTAGCCGTGACATCATGTTCACTTCTCTGTAGCAGCCAGTGTCCAGGAGAACAGCTCCCAGGCTCAGCCACAGGCCAAAACAGAGAAAGAAAAGAAAATCCTCACACTGGCCAGATGCAAGGCCAGAAAACAGGGATGCTGTCCCCTGAACAATGCCTGGCTTGTGAGATTTCCTATTAGACAGAAAAGGATACCTCTCGAGAGCAGCCACTGCCTTGCATCTCATTTCCTTGAAGAGCACCAGTCTACTATTATCTCAAGCTTGGAAACTGCAGCCCCAGCCTCAAGTTATCCACCAGGCTTCTCAGCTGGCTGCTCTTCCACCCACCCCAGTGCTGCCGCCCAGTCAACACAGGCAAGGACATCCTCTGGGGATATGGCTGAGCAGTGATTCATCCTCTGAGTAGCTCCACAGAAGCAGGAAGAAGGGCTTAAACAACCCTGAGGTATCATCGTGAAAAAGAAAGAAAATGTGCCCCTAGGTGAGTGTGAGCATGCACGTGCACACGTGCATGTGTATGCGTGTGCACACACGTGTGTGCATGGTTGGGGGTAGGTCAGAAGATGATGTTGGGGATCTTCCTTAATTTCTCTCCACCTCAGTCTTTTGAGACAGGGTCTGTCACCAAAACCAAACCTCATCAACTGGACTATAGAAGCAAGGTAGCAAGACCCCATCCCTGCCTCTTGGCGCTGGGATTACAAATGCCCAGCACTGAGCCCAACTCTTTGATGTAAGTTTGAGAGAACTGAACTCAGACCATCATGCTCATGTGACAAGCACTTTCCTGGGTAAGCCATCTTCCCAGCCCCCTGGTTGATTTCTTTGTTTAAAACAGGATATCACACTGCCTAAGCCACCCTCAAACTCACTATGTAGGCAGAGGTGACCTTAAACACCTGATCCTACTCTCTCGGCCATCCAAGTGCTGGGATAATGGACATATACTTAGTATACTGGGTGGTTTTGTGTGTCAACTTGACACAAGCTAGAGTCATCAGAGGAATGAGCCTCAGTTGAGGAACTATCTCCTTGACATCCAGCTGTAAGGCATTTTCTCATTTAGTGATCAATGGGGGGAGCAGCTCATGGTGGGCAGTGCCATCTTTGGGCTGCTGGTCCTGCGTTCTAAAAGAAAGCAGACTGAGCCAACCATAGGGAGCAAGCCAGTAAGCAGCACCCTTCCATGGCCTCTGTATCAGCTCCTGCCTCCAGGATCCTGCCCTGTTTGAGTTCCTGCCCTGACTTCCTTCAGTGATGAACAGCAATGCTGAAGTGTAAGCCAAATAAACTCTTTCTTCCCCAACTTGCTTTATGGTCATGGTGTTTTGTTGCAGCAATAGAAACCCTGACTAAGACACTTGGATATTTGTGGTTTTTATAAAAGAGCTAACCTAGAAGTTTTTTTCTAATTCTGATTTTTATGATATTTATTTTTCTCTGGGGGGAAAAAAGTACTTTTCATTCCCAAAACAAGACCACTTCCAAGCACTTTCCCTATACCTTGGCAACAATTGATGCATTGTGTACTTGAAACTGGTGAGTACACTTGAAATATTCTCACCTCAGAAACATTAGGAGGAAGATTGGTAAGTTACAGACATGTTCACTAGCTTCTCATGAAAGGAAATAGCAGGAAGGCAAAAAGTATTTTTAAATATGGCGTCAGGAGGGAATCCCCTAACTTAATAATATTTTTAATAAACACTAGCATTCCTAAGTTTTATAGTGTTTATAAAAACCACTTTCAAAGTAGGGTAACTGGACATTTAGCTGCAAATTCCAATTCTGGGGTTGTTTAAAACAAGGTCCTCTCCAGGAAGGATTTTTAGACCTAATTTAATTAGACCTAATTAATTTCATGTAGGAAAATAATCATATAATTTATGGATATACATAAACATGGCTCCACTAAACTCCTGCTCACTTACCAAGTAGAATTCACTCTCAAAACATCTGCCCATCCCCTATGACCCCAATCCTTTAGGTGTTCCATAGAAAGTCCCATAGTCGCCAAATGCCATTCCCAATTGAGTGATAGCAGTCTCTGGCTAAGGAAGATGGGTGCCCAGCACTTCTAAAGAAGGAGCACCAGGAGGTGCCAGCACTCATTGGCTGGCAAGTACAGTCCTGCAGCAGGAATGCTAACTCATGGTCCTACCACAGCCACGGAATTATATGAGACTGTGCCCAAAGCATCCCAATAGACATTTAATCAAATCTCACATAAGTAGCAAATGTTCTCACAGGAACCACCTGCTTAGAGTGCACCTCTCAACTCAAGGGGCTGGCAGTTGAGGAACTTTCTAGTGAAGGCATCAAGCATCTGTCTACAGCCTGGTAATGACAAGGTATATGTTCTCTGTGTGTGTGTGTGTGTGTGTGTGTGTGTGTGTGTGTGTGTGTGCGTGTGCGTGTGCGTGTGCGTGTGTGTGTGTGTGTGCGTGCGCACGCACATGCATGTATGTGCATATATTTGTGCATATATGTATGGGTATGCATTTACATGTGGAGGCCAGAGGTCAGCCTCAGATATTCTTCTTCCTGAGGCCTGCATCTTGCTCTTTGAGACAGACTCCCCTTGGCCTGGAAACTGTTAATTAGGATAGGTGAACCCAGGTATCCACCTATCGTTTCTCTGCCTCACCTATACTGGAATTACAAACTTTCCCCCCTATTTCTGTGTGTGTGTGTCTGTGTGTGTGTGTGTGTGTGTGTGTGTGTGTGTGTGTGTAAGCACACACATGCACATGTGTTTATATATGTCTGCATGTATGTGCTAGAATTGTGTCCCTAGAACAGATATGGTTAAGTGCCCATTAATGTGACTTTATTTTGAAAGAGGGTCATTGAGGGCATAATCCAGTTAAGAAGTGGTCACAAGCTGGGTGATGGTGGCCAAAACCTTCAATCCTAGCACTTAGGAGGTAGAGGTGGGTGGGTCTATGAGTTCAATGCCAACCTGGTCTACAAGTAAAGAAGGGGTCACAACGGGTTAAGATAGGTCCTACTCCAAAGACTGATGTCCTCTTAAGAGGACAGTCATCTGGGCATAGAAAGGAACATGCAGAGAAGGTCCATGTGAAGGTGGAAGGTAAATTCAAGTGAGGTGTCCACAGCCAAGGCCCGCCAAGGGTGGCAAAAGCCACCAAAAGTGAGAAAATAAGGAATGACTCCCCCTTGAGGAACTGGGGAGAGTGGAGCCTTAGTAATACCACGGTTTAGAACACGGAGGCTCCAGAATGTGAGGGTCACCTGCTTTGGGCCAGTGGCTATGGTGTCACTAGGAAATTTTGGCAATGTGCTTGCTTGTGGCTTCAGAGGCCACCTGGGTTTCTGCTATGTGCTCCTGGTCCCTTGGTCTAGAAGGATAACCCCAGTCCTGTAGCCAGGAGAGAATCTTTACCCATGCTTCAAACAGAGTCCTCATGTGACAGCCATGGGCATCCAAAAGACTGAGTTTTCTGGGGAGTTTCCACTGTCCTGCAAGGCTGTGCAGGTCACCCATGTACCCATCTAGAGCTCCTCCCACAGGCAACTCAGAGCATCCATCCTTCTCCCTAACAGGTTGCCCAAGTTAGTTGGTGGCGGCAGCTGCAAACCCTGTCAGCACCTCTCTGGCTAGCGTGCTATTGGGGGGAAGGAGGAGGAGTAAGGGAGAAGTACACGGATTTATAGACAGTTCTAAGTCTCCAGTTACCTAGAGTTTTAGTATTCTTCTAATACTGACACCAGAGCTAATGATGGCTAACACCATGGGTTAGGTACTGCTTATGGACAATAGCTCATAATCTGCTCAGCCGTTAGAGGCTAAACCTACAACAACCCCCCATTTGACTACCAAGAACCCAAAGCCCAAGCAAGCAGACGTAGGCTTGACTCCCAACTCTGGATTGCCAACGTGCTCTCAAAAGGATACTGCTTTTTTCCTCTTGCTTATCAGATACAGGCTGGCTCCAGGCTTACCTGGTCACAAACACAGCGGCATCCACAGGAGGCGCATCATCCTTCCCTCCTGGTACCTGGTTATTGCCAAGGTACCGTGCGCCCCCATACTCCTCATTCTGCCAGTGGCAGAAGCTTTCCAGGGACCGCTCGCCATGGTGCCCTATGGATAACTTGGCCTAAAAGAAATAGAAGGGTGCAGTCAGACTGTCATCCAGGAAACCAAAGTTGCCACCCAGACACTATTGTGGATGGTAGATGCCCTTGAAGACCGAATTAGATGACTCTCTGCCCTGAGATAAAGGCCTAGAACCAAAGGATGCTCACGAAGTCCCGAGACCACCAGGGACTTTATCCATGCGTTTAAATAATGACTGTCACTAAAGTAAGCAGTCTCCTTCTTAGAAACACAACAGTCTCCAAAAACGATGCACTCCCTCCACGTCCGCCGACTGCTTCACCTTGTTGCAGATAGCACTGGCTTGAAGGGAATCACTCAGCTGAAACAGCAAAGTCAAGGCTGTGCTGAGTCCCGATGGGGCAGGAGCTCCAGGAGGAAGGCCATGCTTCTGAGACCTCCCCCAGCTTTCCACGTGTGTGAGAGCCATATGCCAGACCTACCAGGAATGGGAAGTGTGAGCACCCATGGCTCAGCATTCCCTTGAGATCTAAGCAGCCTACATACTCCCAAGACTCTCTTTTCTCACAATGCTGCCATCTTCGAAGCCAGGAAGGTGAACAAGCCAGTTTGCCTGAAGCCCCCCCTCACAGTCCCAGTCAGGGGGAACTTCCAAGTTCTCAGCTTGCTCCGAAAGGCATCCATGAAGACTTACCGGGCGTTGTCGCAGCAGGACCAGCTTGGTGACTTGAATGTTAATTTTAATCCCGAGGCTCTGGTGCTGAAACATGTTGTATACCTATTAACAGAGAAAAATAAAGATATAAATACAGTTCTTTAAACACAGCAGTGTTTAAAGTGGTAGTTTGTAACAGAGAAAAAATACTAAATACAGACTAAAGAAATTGCATAAACTATGGATATTAGATTAGGTAATAGTCAACATTGTCCTACAAACATACTGTATACATACAGTATGTCCTACACACAGACTATTAAGATATGTTAGCAAACACACTATATGCTAAAAATACGGAAAATTGTGCATGTGAACTCTATACTACCTGCTCAATTTTCTAAACCTTTAAAACTGTTCTAAAATAACAGCTTTGTTTGTAAAAAATATTAAAGTGCAGTTTGTATTCTTCTAGTATGAGAAAAACTAAAAGTAATAATTACATGTAACTCAAAGTTTAGTATTAACAAAGTCTGATTTAAGCAAATACACACACATACACACACACACACACACACACACACACACACACACACACACACACACACACACACACACACGGGTGAGAACATTTTTCAGATTCTATTCAGGTTTACTAGTCAGGAGGTGGTGGTCCACACCTTTAATCCCAGCACTCAGGAGGCAGAGACAGGCGGATCTTTGTGAGTTCAAGGCCAGCCTGGCCTACAGAGTGAGTTCCAGGATAGCCATGGCTACACAGAGAAACCCTGTCTCAAACAAACAAACAAACAAACAAAGGTCTTTTGAGACCAAAAATCCCCACTAAAGGAGACTCCAGGGCCAGAGAGAGCTCTGCAGGTGAAGGTACCCCCTGCACAAGCCTGACCACCCACGTTCAATCACCAGAACTCACACTCACCACCACTACCCCCCAAAAGACCCAGCTGCAGCAGCACACATCTGTCATCCCTGCTCTCCTGCAAGGAGATGGGAGGCAGCGACAAGAGAAGCACTCGGGAGCACTGAGGCCAGCTAGCCTGGAGGATTCGGTGAAGTGGAAATAACCAGACAGACCGACCCTGCTTCAACGAGGTAGAAGGGGAGAAGCAGCAACCGGAAGTTGTCCTCTGACCTCCACACGACTGTGGCACAAGCATGCCTGTATACACACATACATCACACACACAGAGTTGATTAAAAGAGAATCCATACCCCCCATGTATATAAGAGAAGACTCTAGAATCACACACACAGGCACATGTACAGCACATCAAAGGTGAGAGCAGCCGGTTGTTCGACAATGCAGAGCGCAGGTGCCGGGAGCTGGCGGAGCAGCGGTCCGCTGTTGCTCTTCCAGGTGACCTAAATTCCGCTCCCAGCACCCGTGTCAGACAGCCCACAACTGGATGTAACTCTAGTTCCAAGGAACCTGATGCATTCTTCTGGCCTCCACAAGCACTCCCACGTACACAGACGTAGTACACAGGCATACACATGCAGACTCATAAGTAAAAATAAATACTTTTGAAAATGAGCAGCTTGGGTGATTTTGAAACACAGAAACAGATGTTAGGTAATCCAGGCAGAAAAGTCAAAACCCTCGCCTCAGGTTTTCATGCAGAAGGACTGAAGGCATAGGGAGACAGACAGACACTTGCACTGTCCCAGCCTGTGTCATCTTTAACCCTTTCTAGCACTGCTAAAGTTCTGCATCTGTATCATCCCCATTGACAAAACGGGCTTTTGTAGATGAAGGAATGTATTAAAGACTCGGAGCCAGGTAGCAATACCCTGATTCAAAGCCAGGCTCATCTACCCAAAATGTCCATCTCTTCCTGTGTTCCCCTAAGTCCTCATTCTGACCAGAGGCTGCCACTGAAGCACATCATAGTGACAGAAAGGTGCATGCTCGTCTCAAGTCCCCCTTTGTGGCCATTTGGTGTCCCCCAAATTAAACATACAAAAAGACTTGGCTCCAGGGTGGTGTAGTGGGAGGGACTGAGAAGGGCCTAGTGAGCGAGCGAGGCTGTGGGTCCCCAAATTTGCTCACTCTGTCTTTTAGCATCGACATTTGCCCCAACGGTGTCATCTTGTGCCTTTACCAGACTCCAAAGTCACGGGTCTGCCAGAACTGGACCTGAGCCTCCAGACTGTGAGCTCAACAGCGCTTTTCTCTACAAACTTCCTGTTTTAGGTGTTTCATCATGGTGGCACAAGACCAACTTAGATACAAATATGCCTCTAGTCAGGAGAACCTACTATTAAGGGCCTCAACATCAAGACGTCCTAGAGAGGAAGAACAAAAGGAAAAATCGTAAGGCAGGAGAGCCAGGGTTCATATGAACAAAGGCGGCCCACTGGATGTGAGGCCCCCAGGTCAGGACAGACCTCTTGACTTCCTTCCTCTCTTGCACTACAGCAAAAATGGTGCCCTGAGAGGTTTGATGGGAGGTGGTGAGGGTGGCCATAGACACAGGATACGGAGGGAACGGGGATGAGTCCTCTTGGTTTTAGCTCATGGACAACCCGTTAGGGGATTTCACACCAAGAGCATTAAAACTTTCTCCCCTGGTGCTGAGTCTCTACTCTCAACTTGGCAGCACCGGAAAGTGATGGCCAAAGCAAGCAGCAATGTCAGGGTCTGTTAGGATGTGCAGCTGGCTACCCAAAGGACAGTGAGCCTGCAAACCAGGCAAGCACAGACCGTAGGCAGCTATGTGACATAGAATTAGCTGTGTCACAGCTTGGACATTATGCAATGAAAGCTGCTATTATGGTTAAATAAAATCTATCTTTGTGTAACTTAGTATTCTTTCCCACAAGAAAAAAAAAAGGGGGGGGGATGCATTCACTTTCTCTGTTCTCAGTCCTTGCTCCAAAATGTCTTGTCCTCAAGTACAAAATATCTGTCCTTTTTTTAGGCTGGACCATCCATCCACAGGCCAATTCTGAAGTCAGTTCTTCATTATCTATTCCTGACCCTGGGGGAAGAAGGGAGCCCACAATTTTTTCCTTGTTTGGATATTTCAAGAACCACCCAATGGCTCTAATTCAATTTTTTTTTTTTCCTGAAATACCCAGGATGAGGATTGGGCCTTAACTGGTACACAAAAGTTCCAGACGTGAAAGTTCCGAAAAAAGAAAGGTTGGCATTATAAAAGAAAAAATTTAAGGTGTACAGGGCTTTGTCACAAGGAGCTGCATTTGGAGTAAATGCTTTTGGAGTTCAGGTGTAGCTCAATGAGAGATCATAGATGCAGCACACAGGAGGTCCCGTGTTCTGTCCCAGCACCTAAACATAAAATAATTAAGTGCACAATACCTGTAATACTATGCCAGCCAAACCCCTAAGACATTCAAGAATATCATGGGTTTAAAGAAATAACACGCAAGCTGACAAGGTGGCTCAGTGGGTAGAGGCACTTGCCCCTAAGGCTCATGACCTGGGTTTGAACCCTGGAACCCACACAGTGGAAGGTGAGAACAGACTCCTGCAAGTTGTCCTCTGACTTCTGCCTATGTACTATAGTGTGGACATATGTGTGTCATGCACACAATAAAATAAAAATAAATAAATAAATGTTATAAAAAATAAAATATAAAGAATGTGAAGTCAGACATGGTGAGTGCACTGGCTATTCTTATGTCAGCTTGACACAAGCTAGAGTCATCTGAAAGGAAGGAGCCTCAGTTGAGAAAATGCCTCCATAAGATCCAGCTGTAGGGCATTTTCTCAATTAGTGATGGATGGGGGAGGGCCCAGCCCACTGTGGGTGGTGCCATCCCTGGACTGCTGGTCCTGCATTCTATAAGAAAACAGGCTGAGCAAGTCAGGGGAAGCAAGCCAGTGAACAGCACTCCTCCATGGCTTCTGCATCAGCTCCTGCCTCGAGGATCCTGCCCTGTGTGGGTTTCTGTCATCACTGCTTTTGATGATGAACAGCAATATGGAAGTGTAAGTCGAATAAACCCTTTCCCCACCCCCAACTTGCTTTTGGTCATAGCGTTTCATTATAGCAATAGTAACTCTAAGACAGAGGGGTTCATGCCTGTAATCCCAGTACTTAGGAGACTGAGGCAGAGGAATTACAAGTTGGAGAAGAGCCTGATATTCGCAACAAGTTCCAGGCCAGACTATACCATGCCATCATGTCTCAAATTTTTTAATTACATAAGTAAACTAGTAATGTGACAGGGCACTTCTCAGTGCTGTTCTGATCTGTCACATGAACAGAGAACACAGAACCCATAGGCATGGATATGAGCACCAGACAGAACACAAGACAAGTCCCTGAGTTAGAATCATACATTGGCTTCTGTCAGTCTGAGCATAGCCTGGTACTATGAGCTTTCCATGTCCCAAGGCTTCCTTGCTTCCCTTGGGATGAATGTACAAAACTATGATGTGAGATGAAAGGAAAAAACAGCCTCGTGCTCCAAAGGGCTGGGGACAGGGAAAATGGAGAAAATGGTCTAAACGGGAAAGGGGTAGAGAGTGTCAGTTCTAGAAGATGAGGCCATCCTGGATGCTGGTTGGACAAGAGGGGAATGTACTTAACATTACTGAACACTTAACACATGGTTATAATGGTAAATTCAATGGTTAGGTGTATTTTGTCACAATTAAAAGTATAAATCCTTCTTAAAATGTTCATGTCCTAAATACCTGTGGTGGTTTGAGTGAGAAATGCCCTCTGGTGTCCCTGGCATTTGAACACTTGGCCCCCAGTTGGTGGTCCTATTTGGGTAGGTTTAGAAGGTGTAGCCTTGCTAGAGAAAGTGCCTCACTGGGAGTGGGCTTTGGGGTTTCAAAGGCCATACACCATTTCAAGTTCGCTCTCTCTGCTTCCTGTTGGTGGTTTGAGATGGGAGCCCTCAACTCTCAGGTTACAGCTCCAACCTTCATGCCTGCCTGTGGCCATACTTCCCTGCCACGATGATAATGTGCTCTTAGCCCTCTGGGACCCTAAGCCCCAAATAAACCCTTCCTTCCATAAGTTGCCTTGGTCATGTGCTGGGGATATCTTTCTGTATGCTGTGAATGTGTTGCTCTGATTGATTGATAAATAAAATGCTGATTGGCCAGTAGCCAGGCAGGAAGC